TTTTAACTGTTCAGGAGTTTTTGAACCCTGCTGCTTAGAACCAGGAGCACCAACTAATTCGTCAGTACCACGTGATGAAGTGGCAGTCGAAGAACCCAATTCACCTGTATCACGAGAAACAGTATTCTCTTTATCCTCAGTGTCTCCATCTTCTTCCTTCTTACAGTGACATTCATCATCTTCCTTATCCTCACCATCACACATAATAAACGCAGGAATGGCACGACGAACAAGAGAATTAACACCAACAGTAGAAAGTTTGATTAGGGCATCACAAGCTTTAGGACCATCAGCCCATACTAACCCACAAGCACAACACAGTGCAAGAGTTAGTAAACAGAGTAGGTAACACCTCACCATTACAACCTTTATCATTGTTGATGTTTACTTCAATAGGCTAATACAAGGAAGAAAGAGAAACACACGAAAAAGAATTATGATAGAAACACACAAACATACAAGAGTACAACAAATACTCACAGTGGAAAAGAGAGAAAGAGAAGCAGCAACTGCACAGTAAAGCAAGAAGAAAAAGGAATAGACCGCTTGTATGATATTAATATGTATCCATTAGTAGAAAAGAAAAAAAAAGAGAACACCCTACAATACCCAAATAAGAGAGAGAGCCAAATACACACACAATACTCCATGGCTCTAGTTTATATATTTAAATTACTGCACACACACATCTGTGTACTAGCAAGAGATGTATACCGTCAGTAAGCAGAACAACCCAGTTTTCTGCAAACACACAACGGGAAAAGCAAGTAATGGAATTATTCGAAAAAGAACACACACACACACACACAAAAGTAAAAAGAAAAGATATTTGAATTGAAAGAGAAAGCTGGTAAACAGATTATTGTTTTCATTCACCCATGGGGGATATACGCAATTATGTTAGTATTAACCATTATTATTATTATTTGTCCTCAAGTGAGTCCCACCGTTCAGTACACAGTAAAAGAGAACAACACAACCACAACAAGTAGCGGTGCTGCAGTGCCCATCCATACAGGACTGATACTGCTGTCAGCATTACCCTTGTTCTGCACTGAGGAAGTAATGCTGCTGATCTCTGCGTTAGGTACAGGAACAGGTGATGGAGTGGTGGTTGGTGCTTCT